CTGCAGGTTTCTGTTTTCTTTCTTCCTTTAAGGATGGCAGACATGGAAAGGGTCTGAAAAAGGAAGAAGTGAATTATTCATCTTTAAGATATGGGCAAATTATTGCTATGACCTTCGAGCCTTTTCAGAGCCACTGAAACTGGAGTAAGACATACAAATACCTCCACTCTTTTTTTTTTTTTTTTTTTTTTTTTTTTTTTTTTTTGATGTCCTGGCACTGAAACTCTAGAATAAGTAACAAAATTAAAGAGATGCTATGAGAGGCCGGCACTGCGGCTCACTAGGTTAATCCTCCACCTAGCAGCGCCAGCACACCGGGTTCTAGTCCCGGTCAGGGCACCAGATTCTGTCCCGGTTGCCCCTCTTCCAGGCCAGCTCTCTGCTGTGGCCCGGGAGTACAGTGGAGGATGGTCCAAGTGCTTGGGCCCTGCACCCCATGGGAGACCAGGAGAAGCACCTGGCTCCTGCCTTCTGATCAGCACGATGCACCGGCCGCAATGCGCTGGCTGCGGCGGCCATTGGAGGGTGAACCAACAGCAAAGGAAGACCTTTCTCTCTGTCTCTCTCTCTCACTGTCCACTCTGCCTGTCAAAAAAAAAAAAAAAAAAAAAGAGAGAGATGCTATGAGTAAATCTCTGAACTTACTAATAACATATTACACTGATAACTGCCTTTCATTTGAATGCATTTGGGATTTTAAAATTTTTTATTTATTTATTTTTTATTTGAAAGGCGGGGTGGGGGGAGGGAGGGAGGGAGGGAGGGGTCTTCACCAAATGCCTACAATGCAGAACTGAACCAGGTCAAAGCCAGGAGTCCAGAACCTAGTTCAGGTATCCCACGTGGATGGCAGGAACCCAAGCACTTGAGCCATCATCTGCTACCTCCCAGGGTGTGCATTAGCAGGAAGCTGGCATCAGAAGCAGAGCTAGGACTTGAACCAGGTCAATCTGATATGGGGTGTGGGTGTCCCAAGTGACAGCTTAAACGCTGTGCCAAGTCCCTGCCTGCTTCTGTCATGGGTGGGGCGGTGGATTCTAAGCTCCACAGCCAACACTTAGGAAAAGTAAAACTCCATGATCAGTGATAATGATGTTTTCAGCATGCTCCTGTAAAACTCTCGCCCTCCGGAGTTTTGCCAGACTCGCTCCTTGTCTTTCCCTTGTGTAACACAAAGATAACAGATTTATATATTCTTAAGCTAAATCTTGTTTTAAAACTAAATCCATGTTAAGCTAAAAAGAAAACCCAAAATTCCTCCAAGAAAGTCAGCATTACTTTTATGAGATCTGTCCTCCTGTATCGTGTTTCAAGCAGGGCTCCACGCTAGCCACCCACAAGGAGAGACGTCCAAGACGGTCGCTCAGCCTGGAGTTTAAATGCCCTGGGTTTGTGGGTTTAGTGCCATAACCCTGTTCCACAGAGTGATTTCTTTATTTCTCTTCATTTCAATGTGCTATAAATCTCCCTGTCTGTTTTCGGAGCTCCTCTGGCATTATTAAGTTTCACAGAAGGAAACAGTACTCCAAGTGTGTTTCCATTGGCTCTGGCCTTCACTTCCAACAGGGAGCATAAATGACTTGCTGTCCCAAAAAGGGCCATCAAGAGAGAATTTATCCCTACCTCGATCATAAAAGTATTCTATTTTCTCTGTCCCTTCCCCCACTCTCAAGGTATCTTTGCTGCCGGACGGCCTCCGCTGGATCAACCGTTTAAGAAACCTGCCACCGGAGCCGGCGCCATGGCGCAGTGGGTTAACCCTCTGCCTGTGGCGCCAGCATACATGTGGGTGCCAGTTCTAGTCCAACTGCTCCTCTTCCAATCTAGCTCTCTGCTGTGACCTGGGAAAGCAGTAGAAGATGGCCCAAGTGCTTGGGCCCCTGCACCTACATGGGAGACCCAGAGGAATCTCCTGGCTCCTGGATTCGGATCGGCACAGCTCCAGCCATTGTGGCCATTTGGGAAGTGAACCAATGGAAGGAAGACCCCCCCCCCCCACCTTACTCTCTCGCTCACTGTCTGTAACTCTACCTGTCAAATAAATAAATAAAATCTATCTATATATATATATATATATTATATATATTATATGAATAGTGGATTTCCCAGATTATCCTGCTACAGATTTCTTACCTACTTTCCAAACAAGGGCCAGCACCGTGGCACAGCAGGTTAAAAACTGAGCCCGAGCCCACAGGGTTGGCTTCTCATATGGGCGCCAGTTTGGGACCCAGCCGCTCCACTTCTGATCCATTTCCCAGCTAATGTGCCTGGGAAGGCAGTGGAGGATGGCCTGGATGCCTGGGCTCCTGCACCCATGTAGGATATCTGGAGGAAGCTCCTGGTTCTTGGCTTCGGATTGGCTCAGCTCTGACTGTTGTGGCCATTTGGGGAGTGAACGAGCAGATGGAAGACCTCTATTTCTCTCTGTAAATCTTTCAAATAAATAAAGTAAATCTTAAAAAAAAAAATCAACTTAGAGTTTTAGATGGATTCCTACCTCTCAAAACTTAACACACCCTTATGATATAATTGCTTTAATGATTAAAGATAACACTTCCTAAATGACTTTTGATAATTCTTCTCCTGTCAACAGTTTATTTTTTTATTTATTTATTTATTTTTTGACAGGCAGAGTTAGACAGTGTGAGAGAGAGACAGAGAGAAAGGTCTTCCTTCCGTTGGTTCAGCCCCTGCAAAGGCCGCTGAGGCCGGCGCACCACACTGATCCGAAGCCAGGAGCCAAGTGCTTCTCCTGGTCTCCCATGCAGGTGCAGGGCCCAAGCACTTGGGCCATCCTCCACTGCACTCCCGGGCCACAGCAGAGAGCTGGACTGGAAGAGGAGCAACTGGGACAGGATCCGGTGCCCCGACTGGGACTAGAACCCAGGGTGCCGGCACCGCAGCGGAGGATTAGCCTAGTGAGCCACAGCGCTGGCCTCCAGTTAGCAGTTTACAACACAGTTAACTCTCAAGTTCGATGACTTCCAAATTTCTTTTCCTACCCAGCTTTTTGGGGGAGATACAACCAACACACAGCACAGGGAAATATGGTTGGCGTCTTGCAAGCTTTTGGTACTTTCAAACTCATTTGGATCAGTATACAGAGTGCATAATGAGTCGACCGAAGCAGGCGGCTGAAGAGGAGGATTCAACCCCACAAGGGCCACGTTAACAGAATGATGATTGAATGGGTGGACGCAAAGCAATTTCAAACAGTTTGCCAAAGGAAAGCCTCATTTTTCCTTTTTGTTTTTTGCACAGTATCTTCTTTCTGACTCTTCATTTCCTCAGCGATCTGATAATCATGAAATTCTAAATACAGTGTCATCTTTCTTGCAACAATGCAATGAGCAGGAAGCTCCCGCCAGCAATGCAGGGGTTTCCCGAAGCTGCTGCTGCTTACTTCCTGAGTGCCGACCCCAGGACCCACACAGAAGGTTCTTTGAGCACAAGGAAGCCTCTCCACCCCACAGCAAGCACAGCTTCTGTGTGTGCGCTGGTGTGTGCATGCTTGTGAAAGCAGGTCCAGGAAGTCATGTGCAGCTGACCATAATGAGTTAACCATCATTTATCTTTTATTTATCGATATAAGGTGGAAATTTAGATTTTTCCCAATGTTGTAGTACAAATATAGGAAAGAGGAATTCCTCCTCATGAATATCTGTCTATGCAGAAGCAGTGAGATTGTTTTTGCATCCTTCTCACGGATTTAGACCAATAGAGCCACTGTACACACACTCACGCACACACACACATTTTCTCTACAATATAATTTAAAATAATCCCACCTTTATTCTTCATGCTATCCTTACAGAAATCCATAACATGAAGGCAAACTTGTGCAAATGAAAAATTCTATGGGTTACAAATTAAGCCACCAGGTACAAAACTAAGCCTAAATGTATCTACTAATGAAGTTAACATTACACAGAAGTTTGCTCTCAAAATCCCTTTAGCCTATCAAAAATTATAGATATTCCCACTTTTGCAAAAAAGCTCCCATCTTCTGCATTGTTTGCTTCAATTATTCAGGGCAACCCAGGCTGATAATTACACAGTCCCCAGTTGCTGAGTAAAAGTGATGCTTAATTAGCCAGCAGGAAAGATCGATTAAGATCCAGCAGGGCGTCTCGTGAGGGTCTCTCATTCCTGGAGGGAATGGATTCTGCCTGTGCCCTTCCAAAGGATAAAATTCTCTGCTTCTAAGGCATTTCCATAAGGCTTTTAAAGTAGATGCAAAGAACAGTCAGCCACGCAAGTTCAATTCCAACCACAATCCTGTAGTTGCTCTTCTTTAAGTCCTCAGCTGAATTATCCTGAATCACACTGCACCAGGATGAAAAGGCTCACGCAGCACCTACTTATCCCCGAACTCTTGCTCAATTGCCACGTTTTAAGCAAGAGGTGGTAAAGAAATACCCTGTAAAGGAAACTTGCGATTTCTTCTCTCCCTGGGCAAGTATATATCACATTCTAAAAAGCACAAATTAGGTCAGGGCCTTATACACAAAAAACTTAATGAGCATGATATTCCAACCCAGTCCAGTACTAAAATGTTCCAATATGGTCAAAGAATCAATTGGTAAGTCTAGGAGGTCTTATGTTAGGGAAAGAGATGTGGAAGTAAAATCAGCACCAAAGAATCATAATGAAAAAGATCTCATACTACCTAACACCATCCCATGAGTAATTTGGACAAGCACAGTGCCTAGCTTTCACCATTCTTTTTCTTAAATATAAAATCATCCAATAAAAGCCAACATAAAACTTCAAAGCTAAAAGCAGAATAATTAATTTAAGGTGACGATTATCAAAACATTTTTACTTTTGTAAACTAACTATGCTTGCCTGCCTCCAATTCAGTAAATATTAGTTAAATTTCTACCAGGTATAAAGAATCAAGGTAGGCATGCCTCACCTTGATGATTCACAGGGTACTGAGTATACACAGTGGTAAAGCTTAAGGGGGATGAGGAGAGTAGCCAGTTTATACAAACCTAGTTCTGATTTGCTGGAAGCCCCGTAGGATATGGTCTCTGTGGTCCCTCGCCACAGCACTGAGGTTCTCATTCCGCAAACCTTCTGCCAGGAAATCTTCAGTATCTAAAAGAAAAGCAAAGTTGGTCAACAGAAAAGAAGAGGTAGTAAGGGCAAAAGAGGAAAATCCAAAGGAGTAAGAAACTGATACTAGGGGCTGGCACTGTGGTGCAGTGGACTAAGTAAGCCCTGGCCTGAAGCACCTGTATCCCATATGGGCTCTGGTTTGAGTCCTGATTGTTCCAGCTCCCTGCTAATGCGCCTGGGAAAGCAGCGGAGGATGGCCCAAGTTCCTGGGTCTCTGCACCCACGTGGGAGACCTGGAAAAAGCATCCTGTCCTAGCCCCAGATATTGTGGCCATTTGGTGAATGAAACAGCAGATGGAAGATCTCTCTCCCTCTGTGTCTCTCCTTCTGTCTCTCTGCAACTCTGCCTTCCAAATAAATAAATAAATCTTAAAAAATAAAAAAGAAATGGATATTGTTCTCTTTAAAAACTATAGTTGCACGGCCGGCGCCGCGGCTCACTAGGCTAATCCTCCGCCTAGCGGCGCCGGCACACCGGGTTCTAGTCCCGGTCGGGGCGCCGGATTCTGTCCCGGTTGTCCCTCTTCCAGGCCAGCCCTCTGCTGTGGCCAGGGAGTGCAGTGGAGGATGGCCCAGGTGCTTGGGCCCTGCACCCCATGGGAGACCAGGAAAAGCACCTGGCTCCTGGCTCCTGCCATTGGATCAGCGCGGTTCGCCGGCCGCATCGCACCGGCCGTGGCGGCCATTGGAGGGTGAACCAACGGCAAAGGAAGACCTTTCTCTCTGTCTGTCTCTCACTGTCCACTCTGCCTGTCAAAAAAAAAAAAAATTAAAAATAAATTAAAAAAACTATAGTTGCACAAAAATATAAATGTATTTAATGCCACAGAATTGAACACTTTTTTTTTTTTTTGACAGAGTGGACAGTGAGAGAGAAAGACAGAAAGGTCTTCCTGTTCCGTTGGTTCACCTCCCAATGGCCGCTGTGCGGCCGGCGCACCGCGCTGATCCAAAGCCAGGAGCCAGGTGCTTCTCCTGGTCTCCCACGCGGGTGCAGGGCCCAAGGACTTGGGCCATTCTCCACTGCACTCCCTGGCCACAGCAGAGAGCTGGACTGGAAGAGGAGCAACCGGGACAGAATCCGGCGCCCCGACCGGGATTAGAACCTGGTGTGCCGGCGCCGCTAGGCGGAGGATTAGCCTAGTGAGCCGCGGCGCCAGCCCAGAAGTGTACACTTAATAGTTAAGATGGTGAATTTTATATTATGTAGATTTTATCAGAATAAAAGAATAACTAAACTATATATCTACCAGTGACATGTTCTAATAACCCAAGACCTTCTGAATTTAGAAAGCTATGCATGTCATAACCATAAGAAATAACCATTTTTTAAACCATTCTAAAGAAAAATTTACATATTAATTATCACTGATAGCAGAAGATACACTGTCAACCTCATGGACACATAAATATTACAAATAAGCTACAGAAGGTCACAGGCCAATAGAAGCCAGAAAGAAATACCAATAAATAGAGCTGGAATAAGAAACAGAGCTGAATGCAAACTCAAGAACAAAAAGGGCAGGCATTCAAAGAAGCAGCATTAATTAGCAGATACATCATCAATGAAAATGACAATGCAGCCAAGTGAAGGAACTCAGATGGAAAAGAAAAATGTGTCCAAGATAAGGAAACTGCAATTAATGTGAACATACTTTATAAAATAGAGACATGATGGAAATACATAGCACAAAACAAATCATCTGCTGAAGGAAGAAACTGAGGGTTCTACCAATTTTCAAAGACAAAAGTACACTGAAGATAATTACGACTGCCAGAAATACTAGCTGCACACTTTATTCTGCATAAAAGGTTTACCATCATCATATAAATAACATGGTTAAAATGTTCCACCTACAAAAATTCTACTTGTAAGTAAAACTGTATCAATACATACTATCAAGACAATGTTATAAATTTAAAGAGTTGGGCTACACAGCACTCCTGAAAAAACTGCTTTCCATTCACACCATTTAACAAACCAAAAAATAAAAATCCTAGATAGCCATTACTAGGACTTTTGATGGTGCACAAAGTACTGGATGTTGAAATTTTCAAAAGGGACCACCATCAACATCCAAACTCTGCATCTAGAGCATAACTCCTTTACTGAGTTCCTCCAGGGTCCTTTGACTTCTAAAGAATGAGGAAATGGGAAGCTGAACTAAAAAGCAAAAAATAAATGGCTTTCAAGATTCAACTAATGTAATACATCACATTCATTGATAAAGGGCAAAACCACATTCTCATCTTAATAGATACAGAAAAAGCACTTAATAAAATTCAACAATGCTTCATGATTAAAAATAAAAAACAAACACCCAGCAAACTAGGAATAGAAGAAAGTTTTCTCAGACTAATGGAAAGCATTTACAAAAATCCCACAATATCATCATATTTACAGGTGAAAGATTGTGCATCCCTCTTATTCCTAAGATCAGAAACAAGACAAGGATCCTGCCTTTAGTACCAATTAGTGATGCTAGCCAAGGCAATTAGGAAAGAAAATGAAATTTAAAAGCATCCAGATTAGAAAGGTAAAACAAACTATTTGCAGACGACATGATATTTTATATGGAAAACCCTGGGGAATCCACTAAAAAACTGCTAGAACTAAAAATAAAAAGAACTCAGCAAGTTTGCAGGCCAGAAGATCCATGCACAAAAATCAACTGTTATTTCTATGTAACAAAAAGCAAAGCTTTTAAAATTCCATTTAAGATAGCATTAAAAAGGATTTAAGAGCCTAAAAATAAATTAAACAAAAGAACAAAACTTAAACATTGAAAATGACAGAACATTGGTGAAAGAAATTAATGACAATCTAAATAAATAGATATCCTATGTTCATGGATCAGAAGACCTAATACTGTAAAGATGGTAATATTACCCAAATTTATCTAAAGATTCAATGCAATTCCTATCAAAATCCCAGCTGGTTTGGTTTGCACAATCTGACAAGGTGAGGCTAAAATTCATTTTTAAATTTGAGTAGCCAGAATACCCAAAATTTTTGAAACAGACCAAATTTGCACATTTTCTGATTTCAAACTTTACTACAAAGTTATGGCAATTAGATAATATGGAGGGGCTGGCAATGTGGTGTAGTAGCTTAAGCCTCCACCTGCCATGACAACATCCCATATGGGCACAGGTTCATGTCCTGGCTGCTCCACTTCTGATCCAGCTCTGCTAATGGCCTGGGAAAGCAGTGGAGTGGGATACCTGAATGAAGCTCCTGGCTCCTGGCTTTGGATTGGCCCAGCTCCAGCACTTGTGATCATTTGGGGAGTAAACCCGTGGATGGAAGACCTCTCTCTCTCTGCCTCTGTAACTCTGTCTCGCAAATAAATAAATAAATCTTAAAAAAATTGAATAGGCATCAAGATGAACATATGACAAAAGGAAAAAAAAAATGAGCATCTTAAAATAAACCTTCACGGCCAGCCCCGTGGCTCACTAGGCTAATCCTTCACCTGTGGCACCAGCACTCCAGGTTCTAGTCCCGGTTGCTCCTCTTCCAGTCCAGCCCTCTGCTATAGCCCAGGAAGGCAGTGGAGGATGGCCCAAGTGCTTGGGCCCTGCACCCGCATGGGAGACCAGGAGGAAGCACCTGGCTCCTGGCTTCGGATCAGCACAGCACACCAGCCATAGCAGCCATTTGGGAGGTGAACCAATGGAAGGAAGACTTTTCTCTCTGTCTTTCTCTCTCACTGTCTAACTCTGCCTGTCAAAAATAAATAATAAATAAACCTTCACATCTATGGTCAATTTTTGGCAAGTATGCCAAGACAACTCAACAAGGAACAGTTTCCCTCAACAAATAAATAAGTTGAACTCTGACCTTATACCATATACAAAAATGGGAAGCGAAGGCAGTTGGCCAAGCAGATAAGATACAAGTTAGCATGGCTGCATCCTGTATCAGAATGCCCGGGTTTGATTTCTAGCTCTAATTCCTGGCTATAGCTTCCTGCTAATGCAGATCTTGGGAGGCAGTGGTGATGGCTTAAATGACTGGTTCCTGTCACCCATGTGGGAGACCTGGATTAGGAATCCAGCTCCTGGCTTTGGTATTCCTGCCATTGCAGGAATTTAGGGAATGAACCAATAGATGGAAGTGTGTGTGCTTGTGTGCTTTCTCCCTCTCTGCTTCTCAAATTTTTATAGCTTTTAAAAAAATTAACTCAAAATGGATCAAATATCTAATAAAAGAGCTAAAGCTACAAAACTCTTAGAAGCAAGCATAATCTTTGCGACTCTCAATTATGCAATGGTTTCTTAGTTATGGTACTAAAAGAACAAGAAATGAAAGATTAAAAAAAAAAAAACACACACAGGTAATTTGGACCTGATTCAAATGAAAGACTATTGTGCTTCAAGGAATGTCATCAAGAAAGTAAAAAGATAGCCCATGGAGTAAGACAAAATTTTTGGAAATCATAAAGCTGATAACAGATTCGTATGTAGAATATATAAAGAAATCTTATTGTTCAGTAATGAAAAGACCCATACAAATTTTAAGTGAGCAAAAGAACTGAATAGACATTGTTCCAAAGAAGATGTATAAGTGGCCAACAAGCAGGTGAAAATACGCTCCGTATCACTATCAGGGAAAGGTACATCGACACCACGTGAGGTATCACGTCACATCCCGCAGGATGGCTGCAATCAAAACGCTGGAAAATGAACATGCAGAGTATGCAGAGGAACTGGAACCCTCATACACTGATGATGGGAATGTCAAATGGTGCAGCCACTTTGAAAAAGAGTCTTAAGTGACTGAATGGAGTGATAGCACACAAGCACGATCCAACAATTCCACTACTGGTTATATCTCCAAGAGAAGTAAAAACAGGTGCTCAAAAAAATAAAAAGTACACAAATGTTCACAGCATATTATTCTTTTTAAAAGATTTAATTATTGGCCGGCGCCGCGGCTCACTAGGCTAATCCTCCGCCTAGCGGCGCCGGCACAC